AGGTTTTGCTTACAAAGCTGCAGCATTTTGCAGCTGCTCGAGCTCGACTGGAGAAGTTGTCTGAAGAGGTTCCTGCAGCTCTGGATTTATCGGGAACAAATGACACTSTGCGTATTGCGCCATCAATTGATCAACAAGAACTAACGCCACCATTGCTTCCACCATTGGCACAGCTGCAACAACAAAATCCCAAAACCAAACTCAAAATCTTGAGTAATGAAAGTAAGATCAACTCAATGGTTTCGGGTTTATTAATACAAACCTCGTGGAACAAMACAAGGATCATGACGGCCACGTGCAATCATTTCGGTTTCTTTCTTATCTCGGGTTACAGTATTCTGCTTCCTCTGCATATTGGAAAGAGAAACATTATTAATGTGATTGGATGATGATCTCAAGACTCAATCAAATACTTAATTATCTTCATATGGAAACTGCATGGGTTTTTAATCACAAACTTACTCCAATTGTAGATGTTGGCTTGAAGGCTATTCTCATGTTTATTATCTCACCATTCGATATCCCTCCCTACGCAAATGACCGATATCAGCAATCTCTCAGGACACGAGTAGTTTATGGACACATTAAACACAAGATTTTAACCAACCTGAATTCCACCAGATCGGTTTGTTCTAGTCCGTACTCTTCCATTTTCATCGGTATAGAACTCGTCATTGTGTTCAAGACCAGTCATAAACGTACCTACATGTTCATCACATATGATTTTTACTGCTCAAGAGGAGTTTTAAATTAGTTAAAGAAGAGCAAATTATAACTTTCTATACCTGCGAAGCCGCTTCCAAACTCAAAGCCCTTTGTTGCAGGTAAGGACATACAAGCTTTTGCCAGTTCTTCCCCCAGTTTATCGAAAACAGGTGTACCAAGCCCCTGCCCAAGGTAGTTTCAACAATCATTCGCATGCAATCAAACTTCAGAAAAACACACATATTAAACTATTTTCATGGTACAGTGAATTCATACACGTTACAACACCGCCAACAGAGTTCCCTTTTGTCCTGACAGCATCAATTGCAGCTATCATCTTTTCTGCATACTCGGGATTAGGGCATCTGACAATGTTACTTTCTATCTGGAAGACGAACAAAAGGAGGTAAGAATGTTACCAGAAGAATCTTAACAAGAAGTGGCAACACTTAGTGATTAGAAAAAAAGATTATAACGGCGGATGAAAGTTGCAGCAAATTCACAGCAAGAATCAGGTCACTAAAACGGTACAAATATGGAATATACTCACGAAACAAAATGAAGGCTATACTTTCAAAAAGGATGTGCACCTGTTTGAGTTTCAAATTCTCGTGGTCCACCAATTCCTCTGGAAGTACAACCTGGTGGACTTGTGAGACATAGGCAAGAATCTGGAGGCATTTAAAAAAAAAACAGACACAAACTTAAGTAAGTTGAAAGAGTTGCATGAATCTGTAGAAAATTGGGTTAATGAGTCAAATTACTAAGGGTCGTCTTCTTTGGAGGGATATACTAAGATGAGATGAAAGAACAAACCAAACGTAAAAACCAGAAAGTAAACCCACCTCAGTCCCTGCATATTGCTTCAAAATTTTCTTGGCCAAAGCACCAGGAGCAACTCTTCCAATGGTCTCTCTAGCTGAAGATCTCCCACCACCCTTAAAAAGAATCACACTTAGAGTAAGCGAAGATGCACGCTGCTTTTGGACTACATAAAAACCCTACCAAGAAATGTAACGTATAAACAAGTTAAACCGAATAAAGCAAGCAGTTACCTGTACTGATCTGACACCATACTTCATGTCATAAGTTGCATCAGCATGCGATGGCCTATAGGCTACCGACATTTCACTGTAATCCTGAAAAATCAGTGAGTCTATCAAAGGTCACAATTCACAGAAAATCTCCAAGCTTTCTCTTCGATTCTGATTAAGGCACTAACATAATATAAAAATTGTTGTCTTTCATGATGCCAATAGCAAACATCTACATTTAACAGCATTGAGTGTTATACGCATATAGATGCCAAAAACTTACAAGTCCTCTCTGATCTGTGTTTGGCACAACCACATGGATGGATGTTCCTGTCGTCATTCCTGCATTTTATGGATGTCAACAGTTGA